TTTGTATCACATAAGAAAGTCCACCAAGTTAATTTTTAAACAGTGAAATATACCAGTTCATGCATAGCTAGTGTGGATTTTCTGTAAAAGAAAATGTAATTTAGGTATTAGATATGTGAATATATAAAAACTGTGTGGTATGTGTGTGCATCCTCTTCCCCGTTCGTTTTGCGCTAAATCTGGATAAAGCAAAACATTGTAAAACATAAATGATTCACAGGACAAGTGCAATAATAAAAACAAAAGGAAATAAAGCTTGTGAGAAGAGAAATGGTCACCAACTAGTTGAAGATTTCGGACGAGAGCAGAGGAGAAGGAGATGAGAGCTCCGCAGCTCCCTGCAAGATGCAATCTCGTTACCTCGTTACTACGTTGTCAATGGCCCGAGCTCCTGCGAAGGTTTCAGCAAAGAGGAGGAAGAGGCGTGTGGGATTTCAGTGTGGGTGAGAAAGCGAATTGAGGGAGGGAGGCGAGGCTTCTTGGGTGAGCCAATAAGAGAGGAGGTCGAGCGGCCGAGCATTGCGAATGAATAGGAGCAGGGCCGAATGTCTGGCGAGGAAGACAGAAGCGGCTTCTACTGCGTGAGAAAGAGGAAAGCAGATGCGAGGGTTTTGGTGCGTGAGGGAGTCGCAGAGGGAGGAGCAGGCAAGCGGGAAGGAGCAGGCGAGCGGGTCAAAAGGAGGAGCGGGTAGAAGCAGGCGAGTCTTCCTGTTCGCAGAGAAGGAACGTCGGACCTGTTCGCAGAAGAGGGGCTAGGGCTTCTGTTCGCATGCGAGGGGAAAACGGGAGTCGAGCAGGGGGTTTCGTTCGATGCAGAGGGAGGAGAGACGAGCAGGTAGGAGTTTTGCGAGCGAAAGAAGATGAGCAGGAGCTCGGGAGGACGAGCGGGACAGGCGAGAATCTTTGGCGCAGTGAAGGATGTTTCGTCTCTTCCTGTTGAGAGGGATCAGAGAGGCATCGAGAAGAGAAATCTCGAGAGAGGGAGAAGGCGAGCGGGAGAGAGGAGCTCGGGGGAGGCGAATCAAGCCAACCGTAGAGGAAAAAGACCCGCCTTCCTTTTAGAATTCGGGCGGGGTGAGGAGCCGTTACTCAAATCAATTGGCGGTAATTAAATAGTTTCTAAATACAGGGAGGATTAAATGAAAGGTATTAATACCTGAATTAAATTTTAATTAAGATAAAAATTTAAATAATTCGTTTGAATTTTGAAATTTGAATTTCAAATTCAGGTGAGCTGGTGCGTGCCTAGCCCACTAGCCCATGTTCAGCCCGAGTCCAGCCTGAATCAAACCCGAGTCGGACCTGAGTTGAGCCCGGGCTCATGCACCGCTAAAAAAATGCATCGATATTCATGCTAGTCGCTCGTGCGTGAAACTATAGAGAATAGAGATATGGGTTTCCTTCCTAGCTAAAGTCGATGTTCCGGACGCGTCGGCGCGGTTCGTTTTGTCATCCGGGGTCGATCGGACGAGTTTGCCGACGGGCGAGTCAATTTAAGCTAAAATTATATGGGGTGCGATGCG